TTCAGTTTATGGCATTAATTTGTAGTACTCACTTGATTAAAAGAAAACTTCAGTATATCTGTAATTGTCTCCTTTTTTATGTTCAAAAATTGTTTCTTTTTTCCCACTTTTTTCTTGATCAGTCCTGCCTGCAGTTAATCTTTTATTAGTTTAAAATACAAAACAATTATTTTATTAGTTGTAATAAATCCTTTCCAAGAGTTGAATTTAGTTTTTTGTTTTAATTTTTCATTTGGGCACAATTTCAGAATTAAAGTCATGATAGTAGAATAGTACAAATAATTCCTAAATAGATTTCATCTAAATTCCCTAACATTTTGCCGCATTTGTATAGGAGGTTTCAGAGGGATTTCGGAGCCAATTAAGGAAAAAGATGTAACCATGAATTGCAGGAGCACAATGACACTGTTTATGCATGCGTATGAGGGATACGGGGGCCTCTTTCAGCATGAGACCACCTAGAGGCGAGGGCCCAGAGGCCGCTTCCCAGAGAAGAGGAGAACAAGGGAACCCCTGGGGTATATAAAGCCACTCGGGGTCTTTATATCTTTATAGGCGAAGGAGTTTGTGTAACTCAATGAAGCTATAAGCCACGCCGTGCAGGGCCACCCAAGACGGAGGAGTTATAGTGGAGAGTTCTGACAAATCCTGGTCCAGTGGAGAAGGAAATGGCAATCCACTCCAGTATCCTTGCCTGGAGAATCTCATGGACAGTGGAGCCTGGCAGGCTACAGTCCATGGGGTCGCAGAGAGTCGGACACAACTTAAGCAACTGAACAACAAAAACGAGAAACTGGGTGCGGTTTCACGGGGCAGGTGAAGTGTGCAGCTTCTAAAAGACTACAGATGTGCCGACTACACTGTGTTTAAAACATTCACATGTGTTGATATCTGAGTTTGGGGCTGCTGGTCTTTTGAGCTAGAGATCTCAGCCAGCTGTGAAGAAATAAACAACTGAGGGGCCAATCTACAGAGGACATCTTTGGCTAATTTATATGACAATTTGCTTTATCTTGCTTTTCCTCCTCTTCTATATATTTGTGTGTAAATACTTCAATGTGCATTTCCCCAAAACAAGGGCATTCTGTCACATAACCACAGTATAATCAGGAAATTAGAATTGGTGTAATGCCATTGTCTAACCCATGGATCTTATAGTTTACTAGTTGTCTCAGTAGTACCTTTTCTAGCTAAAGAAAATCTAGTATCACACATTGCAACCCCCTCCCCTCTTTGGTCTCCTTTAATCTGGAGACTTTTAAAGCATTGACATTTTTGAAGAATACAGGCCAGTTATGATTGCTCCTTAATTTAGGTTTGTTTGATGTTTTGTCATGATTAGATTCAGGTAATACATTTGGGGCAGGATTTTTTAAAATATCTGCTTAATTATTTCTTCTAAAATTTCTTCTCATATTTCTTTCTTTAAACATCTTTTGAGTTTATTCTTTTCTGTGCTAGCTTTCTGCATTGTATGTCATCAATTTCCATTAATTTAATGTCTTAGGGCTGTAAATTTCCTTTAAATATGTGTTTTTAAATATCCATCAATTTTGGTATGTAGTATTTTTGTAGTTGTTATAAATATTTCTGCATTTTTATTTTATAATTTTATTACTTTTTGGTTTAGAGAGTAGCATCTATGCAATATTGATTTTTTTAAAGGTTTGTTGAGGTTTATTTTTTTAGCTTGTCAGTTTTATAACTATATCAGATGGCACTTTTAAAAATGTATATTCTCTAACTATTGAGTTCATTCTCTGTCTGATACAATGGCAAGCTTTTAAATTGTTTATTCATACCATATGCTATTTTTTTTGTATCCTAGATCTTTGTTTCTAAAAGTATATACTAAAATCTTTTTGCTGTGATGACGACTTGTCAGTTTCTCTTCGTTGTGTCCAGTGCAGTGTTTTTGTGCATTTAAACTGCATCATGTGCATTTGCTGGGGTGCACTGGACCCAGCATTGAGCTGGCTTCAGGTCACTGCTTTGTCTCCTTCCAGTGGGTTGTTCTTTCTAGCTTTTTGTCTGTCTCCTAATTTTTTAAATGAATGCCCGACATTGTGTGTGGGAGACTTCTGTTGGGCTGTTTCTGTGTTGGAGCTGGGAGGACAGGAGTTGTGAGTTGCGCAGAGCTGGCATTTCTTGTTGCTATGGTTATCATGGGTCTCTGCTCTGTCTTAGAGCTGGCTGGTTACTTACTGGTTCCCCATTCCGCCCACCGTCGGCCCCCCCCACCTTGACTGTCTCCTGCTGGTGCTCCCCGCCTGCTCCTTGTGCTGGCTGATCTGGGGAGGAGGGGCAGGGTGCTCTTTCCCTGTCAGTCTTAGGAGGGCCCTGGGCCCTGGAGATGTGTGTCTCCCATGGAGGTAGTGTAATAGGGAGTTACTGGTCCTCTCACCCATTGGTCAGCGCAGCAGTGGGCCCTGCCTCCAAGCTGCCAGCTGTCAATGTCGTCAGTGTTAGGCGGTGATTCAGCCAATGGTTGGTGGACTGATGCTCATCAGGTAGAGAGTGAGGTAAGAGGTGGATTCTCGCCTTCTCCAGGAGGCCCTCCAGGTCACCCAAGCTCAGGCCCGCAGGTGAGCTGGGGGGCCCAGGGAATAGGCTCCAGGGCCCTCCCCAAGGCCACCCCCTAGCCACACCCAGGCCTTGAGGTGGCAGTGACCCTCTCCACCATCCTCGGCTCTGACTGAATAGCACGAGACGCAGACTTCAAGACCTGGCCCCTGCTACCTGGGCAGCCTGAGGGCTGGCTGGGTGCTGGGTGCCTGGTGCCTTTGGGGATGGCGGCTGGGCAGGGTCTGAGGCCCTGGTCCTGAGCGGGCCGCCGGCTGAGCTCTGCCTTCTTAGCGGGGACCGGGACCTCGGAGGGCGAACGTGGTGCCTGGTGGCCTGGCGCTTTCTTGTCAGGACAGAGAGTAACATTCGTTTGGTAGAGACTTACAGGAACACCGTTACCTGACCTCAAGAACAAAGGATGTGATGCCGAGAAGTCTGCATCAACCAACCAGGCTCCTCCCTCACCTTTCCTAGGAAAGGGCTTTGCTGAGAGCTTTTGAGGAGTTTGGGGCTTTTAAGGCATAAGCCACCTATCTCCTCACATGGCTCTGCAATAAACCTTCCTCTGTTCCAAACTCTTAACATTTTGGGATTATTTGCCTCATTGTGTGTTGAGGGCATGGACTTGTGTTTTGGTAACAGTAGGAGGTGCTAAAGGCCTGAGCCCAGGACCTATGTCTGCCCCTCGCCCATGGGGATAGGGTTTTTTTTTTTCTGCTGCTTCTTCCTCCTGCGACACGTGGTAGGTATTACCCATGATCTGGGTGCAACAAAACGGTTTTGCTAACCCTTCCTCCAGCAACATAGGACTTCTGTTCCTCAAGAGAGAGGTTTCTGGAAGGATGGGACTTCCTGGTTCCCACTGCGCTCCTCTGGCTCAGGGGAGTCTCTGTGTGATCTCCAGCCCCGCCCTGTGTTCCTCTTCTCTATCTGTATCACAGATCACCACCAATGCAGTGATTTAGAGCAGCTCACAGTTCTGAGGCCACGTGACCCAATGGAGTGGCCACGCACTCTGCTCGGGTTTCCAAAACAAAATCAAGATGCTGGACAGGCTGGCCTCTTCTCCGGGGCTTCCAGGGATAGTTCACTCCTGGTGTTCAGAGTCAGGGGAAGTGGGTTTCTGGCGGTTTGGGCCAGAGGCCCCTGCCCCGCTGCCCGCTCTGGGCTGAGGTCCTCCCTCAGCATCTTCTCACACTCACACTCACCTCCAAAGCCAGAAACGATGCACGGGCTCCTTCTGGGGTCCTCCCTCTTCACGTCTCTCTTCTTCTGACCCCATCCGTTTCCAGCTCAGAGATGAAGTGTCCTGCCGATGTTTTTACGTGAGTCTCACCACGTCATCTGTTTATTTCCAGGTTTTCTTAGTGTCTTTGCAAAGGCTTAGCATCAGACTGTAGCCAAGGCGGCTTGGTCCTGTCTGCACAGTCAAACTTGTTTCTACACTCTCCCCTAGAGAGCCTTGGAGGCCTGAGCCAAGCCTCCAGCGGACGGTAAGTTCTCAGCAGGAGAGCAGAGCTTTAGTGTTCAGAACAGGCCCCATCCTCAAATGACAGGCGTCCCAGATTAGAATAACTCTCCTAAGAAAGGTGACCCAGGAAGCAGCCTTCTCCTTGGAAAGAGGGATCCCTTTCTTATCCCACTTGGTAGCTTAGGGCTGAAGTTGGAGGCTCACCATGTGGGGCAGCTGCCGCCCCCTGAAAAGTGCCCCCAAGAGAAGCCTGGGACCCGCTTGCAGGCAGAATTAGGTGATGTCATTGCCTTAGGGGATCACCGAGGATTCGGTCTAGAGGGGAAGATTTCCAGGAGGAGACGGGGGTCTCCTGCCTTAGCATGTGAAAGAAGCATGAACTTGGAACACGAAGCACCACAAGCCTAGTGGTTTACACAACAGACACTGAATCTTGCCCAGTGCTAGAGGCCAGAGGGACCTGCCCCAGGCCTCTCTCCAAGCTCCTGGAGGCTTGCCGGCCATCTGTGGCATTCCTTGATTTCTGCTGCATCATGGGACCTCTGTCTTCCTCCTCTGTTACCCATCTCTGAATCACATGCTATGTGCCCTTCTTTTTTCCACTTGCTGGTATTGTTGGATGATCATTCCATCTCAAATATTTATACTATTTTATGTTGATTCATAGCTTAGCATGCTTTAATTTGTATCATAATTTATCAACCATTCTCTTATTTTTCAGCACTTCAGTAGCCTCCATTTATTTATTAAAAAATAACAAAACACCCTCAGAATTCTTTATGGAGTTTCCTGTCATTCTAGAGTTTTAGTATCTCTGCAGAATTCTTGGATCAAACCCCAGTGTGTCTCTGTCCTGAGTAGGAACATATATAGGACCAGGAGAGAGATAGGTGTGGGGTCCAGTTGATGCTTCCAGCCACAGTAAATCTGCTCCTGAACCTTCGTGTTCCTGGTCCCTGGGAAAATGAGGAGAGGAGAAGGAGGGCTCAGGAGAAGCCATCAGATCTTGTCCCGTATTTGGTAAGTGGCAGAGCCTGACCAGGACCATTTCCTGTGCAGGAGTCAGGAGTTGAGCCAGGACAGGTCTCAGGAATAAAAGTGACTGTTGACCAACTGCAGCCATGAGAGGAGAACCAAGCAAAATGTAGCGGGATCCACGGATAGAACCAAGCGCCCCAGGTTAATAGACTTCCAGGTGTTTGGCTGAGTGACACTGAATGGACTCTGCCTTCCGGTACCCATTTCCACCTTTTCCCTGTGGATTTCATCAACACCTGGTGATAGAAGCTTTGGGTTAGATTAGTAGGCTACAGATATTTTTAAAATGATAATTTAAAAGACATGATGATATACGAAATGCCTGTTTGTCACAGAAAAGCTTAGAAAATTCATCTAAGTAAAAAGAAATAAGTAAAAATGGTTATTATCCAACTATACAAAGCTAACTGCTACTTGGCATTTTGTCCTACATCATTTCAGAGATTATTCTGTGTGTGTGTGTGGGGGGGGAGAGAGTTCAAGATGCTTTCAACCACCTTTTTCAGTTGCCAGTATACTATCATAAATAGTCTCCTATGATTTTATTTTTATTAGCTACATCATGTTTATTTCCCTTTGGCTGTGGTATATTCATTTAATTAGTCCTCTACAGTTGGATATTTAATTATGTCTGCTGTTTTGGAGTTTTACCAAATTGTAATAAATATCTTGGCCGCTAAATCTTTGCCCAAACTCATGAGTGTTTCTGCAGAATAAACATCTATGAATTAAATTTCTGGGTGGTGGTGGGGGAGGGTAGTAAATTGCATGTTGATGACTGAGACGCAGAGATGTATATTCTGTTAAGCAGAAAAATGATTCAAAATCAAACCTCAAGGTCAGGTCCCCATCGCGTTCCAAGCTGAGGGCTTCGCTCCAATAAATGGGGTTCTTGGGAGAAGCCCCTGCCACCCTGAGCCTGGGGTGTTAGAGCAGTCGACTCTGAGGCTGGAGGCAGGGTTGGGCTCTCATGTCCTCTCCTCCCCCACCCCAATCTCTGCCTCCACAGGTGTCTGCTTCTCCCAGACCAGCAAGGAAGGACAATGTGCCAGGTGAGCATGGCACTTCTGTGCTTTTCGTTTTACCATGGATTTCAGGATGCTTAAAAGAATTCGTCCAGTGAAAAACAATGCCAACAGAAATCAGGGCCAGTGAAAACAGGAGGAGAATGGAAGATCAAAGCCATGGGGAGGGCAGGGTGGGCATACTACATAGGCTGCTGGAGTTATTAGCTGCCCTCTAAACTTGCGTCTGACATGTCTGTCACTTTAAAAAGACAGATTCCAAATAAATAAATAAATAAAAATAAAAAGACAGATTCTGTCCAATACATAACTTGTGTTGTCTGGAACAAGCGTATCACCCTCTCAGGGAACATAAAGCTTTCCAGGGTATTTAGACATTTATGTAATGGGTCTTCACACGTCAGATGTAATAGGCAGGGTCCTCAATAACAACAACATTCAAATAAACGCAACAGCAGATCTCCTGTGAGTTCCCCCCGCCCTCACAGTATCAAGTACATACTATATCAATGCAGAAATTCTGTGATTACAGTTGTTGCAGGGGGGGAGTCAGAACACTCAGGTCTACATAAACAGCCTTGTTAGGGTTCACACTTACCTAGATAAAACACTCCATGATCCAGAGGAACGAACAGATGAGTGGTATGGTCTTTGAACTGCTGTTTATGATAATTCTGGACAGAGATAGAGCCCGAACAGCTCCAAGCCTCCGTGTTCAGCAGGGGTGGGGGAGATGGTCTGAGCTGTCCTGCCTCCTCTCTCCGTGACTTTGACCTCACCCACTGCCCTTAACCCCACTTGTGTCCTTTCTCAGTGGCCATCCATTCTTTCTTCAGACATCACAACATCATGTATTCTATTGCCGGTCACTGTCAAATGCCTCCAGTCCTAAAGCGCCTCCCTCTTTACCCCAGGCTCCCAAGATGCATGAACTTGAAAGAGGCTGGTCAGAGTCCCGGAAGTTACAAAGCCTGAGACCCAGAGCTAGTTGAGAACAAAGACAGGTTCGAGGCAGCACCCCAAGCTGTGGGAAGAGCAGGCCTGCTACTGGGACTGGTTCCGCCCAGGGACCCAGACCTCGCCAGGGGTCTCCCTTGTTCCCGTGACTCCTTTTCTCATAACAACTTATCCACATGACCAGAACTAGGGCTCTCACAGCTCACATTTACAAATTCTGCCACAGAATGGGACCAAGTCTCCTTCCTCAGTTGGAAAGATCTTTGGGAAAGGTTGGGATTGGTTCAGCTTAGTTCAGGGGCTGAGGGGCTGAGTCTGCAAAGGGGAGCTCCCAGGAGCACCATGTGCTTGGAGTGGGGGTGGGGGGCGGGGGAGGGAGGGAGATGAGACCTGGCAGATAAACATCACAGCGGTCCAAGCCAGGAAGACAAGCATTCACAGGTTTCTAGTTCAGGGATCTCCCTGTTAGGGTTATGTGTGATAAAAACAACAATAAAGCTTGTAAACATATCCGCTGAGCACTTACGTGCCAGTCTCTGTGTTTTTACTATATCATTGCATGAATAAACCTGTGAGATGATATCATTAATCCCTTCCTCCATTTTACAGACAAACGAAGTGAGGCTAGAGATATTAAAATCCATTAGGTGATGGAGTTGGGATCTGAATGCAGACAGACAGACCTAGAACTGGGCCCTTCGTGATCAAACTAGTTTTTTTTTTTTATTATTAAACTAGTTTTATCTGCCAATAGCAAATCCCCAGCAGAGGAATCCAGTAGTGTTGATGCGTTCTAGACACGCACTGTCCATAATGGCCGGAGAAAGATATGATAACCCACTCCCTGATTCTTGCCTGAAAAATCCCTTGGACAGGGGAGCCTGGTGGGCTACAGTCCGTGGGGTCCAGAGACGACTGAGCGTACTTGCACACACAGACATGCATCATGGTAGCCAGTAACCACAGGTAGATACTGAGCATTCAAAGTGTGGTTAGTGTGACTGTGGATTTGAATTTTTACATTATATTTCAATTTAAAAACTTCAGAGTAAAATATTTTTTCAGGAAACACAACTTTGTTTTGATAGGACTACATTTCACCAAAGTGAAATTGAAAACTGTGTCTAATTGAGATGTACTTTAAGTGGAAAATACACACCACGTTTTGAAGATGTGGTATTTAAAAAGGATGAAAACTGGAGCTTCCTTGGTGGTCCAGTGGTTAAGACTATGCTTCCAATGCAGGGGGCGTGGGTTCCGTCCCTGGTCAGGAACCTAAGATCCCACATACCATGCAGTGCAGTCAACAAATTTTAAAAATTAAAAAAGAATGAAAACTATACCTGTATACATGGAATCCTTTCTCTGCTTTCCTTTTGTTTACCACCTTAACTTTGCCTGTATGTCATGTCGATGATTATAACTGTGCCTGAATTTTATTTATTCTCTCCGTGATCCCCACCTCGTGATAAAGCAATCATCTACATCAGATTGTCTTTTGTAGCTCCCCTTCTTAAGTACTGTGATGGAGACCCTCTTGCCTGCAGGAAAAAAACTTCATTTGTTCCATGATCTGATCCCTACGCCCACCACCCCCCCCAACACACCCCCCTTATACACACACCTCTACACTATCATTCCCAATTTATTCCTACTTCCTACCGAATTTCCCCATGACTTCTTGGGCTGTGCTTCTTGATAGGAACAGCCTTCCAACATCAGAGCACGCTTTATTTTTCATGATTCTGCTCACCTACACACTTCGATGAAGCTTAACGTCAGGATGTTGAACCTGGCTGCTTGTCCTCGTGCCCTTCCATCAGAGCCTTCGTCTGTTGTTACCATTCAGCAGTCTCTCACATGCACCTCGCGCCCTTGAACAGGAGCGCTGCGGCATTCAGCTTTCAACCCCAAGCATCACGCAGAACACCAGTAACATACCTGGTCCCCCACCGACGCTTGCTGTCTACATGGAAGGATGGATGGATGGATAGAGATCCAGAGGCAGACACTTTCTAATGATTTTTTTTCTCTCCCTGTACAAAATGCAGTACAAAGTGAGGGGCATGCTAAGCTTCCTATGTAACTTAACATGGGGAAACCCGCCCTCCGAAGGTGGTAAGATCTGTCTCCTCTATACCTCTGCCATAATACCCTGTGCCGAGCACTCCAGATTAATCAGGAATGTGCTGTTCCAGGGGTCCTTGTCATTCAGAGACGTGGCTGTGGGCTTCACCCGTAAGGAGTGGCAGCAGCTGGACCCTACGCAGAGGACCCTGTACCGGGATGTGATGCTGGAGAACTACAGTCACCTGGTCTCCGTGGGTGAGAAAGGCTGCCAGTCCCCCTCACCCTGCTTATGTCTGAGCTCCTTCCTCTCCAGTTACATAAGACCCCTGAAGTACTCGAAATGTTTGTCCTGGGGTTTCAGTCATCAACACGTCCTGTTCTAACCTCACCTGGATTATTGGTGAATTTTCCTCCCAAGTCAAACAGCTATTCTTTGGCTGAGAGGTAAATATTCATTGTGCGGCCTGAGACTTCTGCTTCCTTGGGTGTCCCAGAAACCTCAGCATAAAACTTGTTTCTTAAAATAATCTTTTGGCCATGCCACAAGGCATGCAGGATCTTAGTTCCATAACCAGGGATTGAACCCATCTCCCTGCATTGGCAGCATGGAGTCTTGACCACTGGACTGCTAGGGAAGTCCCTCAGATAAATCTTGTAACTGTTTCTTGTGAACAGGGTGTCAAGTCACCAAACCAGCTGTGATCTCCAGGTTGGAGCAGGGGCAAGAGCCATGGATGGAGGAGGAAGAGATCCTGACATGGAGCTTTCCAGGTGAGAGAACCAGTGTGCAGGGGGACAGAAGACATGGGGTCCCAGAAGGTCACAAAACAGAACCTCTAATTTTTTTTTTATTTCAGGCAACTGTGTTAAAAGCCTTGAATCTTTGCAAGCAACTGTGGACAGTTGACCGAAGACCTTGAGATGCCCAAATGATTTCTACTACCTGCACCCATCACGTCACTGCATGATCACTTGCCCTCCCATGGATTTTAGAGAAAGACATTCTTTTAAAATTTATCCTTTCTTTCTACTCTGCTGCCCTCTTCTAAGACCATGCCTTCTCAGTCTTTCTCTAGAATCTTTAGGCTTACACTTGTCCCCTGGTTATGACACAGGCTTTCTCAAGCTCTCAGATATGTGTAGATTTGCCCTATTTAAAAATAACTTATTTTGTGCCACTCATTTTTTTGGGGGGGCATGATGTGTGGCATGCAGGATCTTAGTCCCCAGATCAGGGATCAAATCCACGCCCCCTGCAGTGGAAGCAGTCTTCACCACTAGACCGCCAGAGAATCCCTGTACCACTCATTTTTATTTTAGTTTTCTAAAATAGTTTTCTCTGCTTCACTGTGAAATGCCTCAAAAAATGTATTTGCTATCTTTTATATGACTTTCTTTTAACCTTTTTTTAAATTTATCTTTATTAGTTGGAGGCTAATTACTTTACAATATGGTAGTGGTTTTTGTCATATATTGACATGAATCAGCCATGGATTTACATGTATTCCCCATCCCGATCCCCCCTCCCACCTCCCTCTCTACCCAATCCCTCTGGGTCTTCCCAGTGCACCAGGCCCGAGCACTTGTCTCATGCATCCAACCTGGGCTGGTGATCTGCTTTACCCTTGATAATATACATGTTTCGATGCTGTTCTCTCGAAACATCCCACCCTTGCCTTCTCCCACAGAGTCCCAAAGTCTGTTCTGTACATCTGTGTCTCTTTTTGTTTTGCATATAGGGTTATCATTACTATCTTTCTAAATTCCATATATATGTGTTAGTATACTGTAATGGTCTTTATCTTTCTGGCTTACTTCACTCTGTATAATGGGCTCCAGTTTCATCCATCTCATTAGAACTGATTCAAATGAATTCTTTTTCATGGCTGAGTAATATGCCATGGTGTATGTGTACCACAGCTTCCTTATCCATTCATCTGCTGATGGGCATCTAGGTTGCTTCCATGTCCTGGCTATTATAAACAGTGCTGCGATGAACATTGGGGTGCACGTGTCTCTTTCAGATCTGGTTTCCTCGGTGTGTATGCCCAGGAGTGGGATTGCTGGGTCATATGGCAGTTCTATTTCCAGTTTTTTAAGGGATCTCCACACTGTTCTCCATAGCGGCTGTACTAGTTTGCATTCCCACCAACAGTGTAAAAGGGTTCCCTTTTCTCCACACCTTCTCCAGCATTTATTGCTTGTAGACTTTTGGAGAGCAGCAATCCTGACTGGCGTGTAATGGTACCTCATTGTGGTTTTGATTTGCATTTCTCTGATAATGAGTGATGTTGAGCATCTTTTCATGTGTTTGTTAGCCATCTGTATGTCTTCCTTAGAGAAATGTCTGTTTAATTCTTTGGCCCATTTTTTGATTGGGTCATTTATATTTCTGGAATTGAGCTTCAGGAGTTGCTTGTATATTTTTGAGATTAATCCTTTGTCTGTTGCTTCCTTTGCTATTATTATCTCCCAATCTGAGGGCTGTCTTTTCACCTTGCTTATAGTTTCCTTTGTTGTGCAAAAGCTTTTAAAAGTTTCATTAGGTCCCATTTCTTTATTTTTGCTTTTATTTCCAATATTCTGGGAGGTGGGTCATAAAGGATCCTGCTGTGATTTATGTTGGAGAGTGTTTTGCCTATGTTCTCCTCTAGGAGTTTTATAGTCTCTGGTCTTACATTTAGATCTTTTTTTATATGACTTTAAATTCATCTTTCAAGACCATTCATGTATTGATAACATGTCTCCATTTTGTCTGATAAGTTATAACTAAAGCTTTTCTGCCATCTCAGTGTATTACCATGGGAAGCAGAGCCTTTGTTTTATTCACCCTTGTTTCTGCAGGATACATATAATGTATATCAACTAACCCCTTCTCCCTTCTAGGAAAAGGATCCTTTATCAAGCACCCATTCAGAGTGGTTGTTTTTAATCAGAGGTGTGCACCAGAATCACTGGGGAAGCTTTAAAAATGCCCCTGGCTGGTCCCAACTCAGAAAATTCTGCTGGGAAAGATCAGCCAAGGGAATAGAAAGTGTGTGTAGTAGGAATAAGATTATCATAATTTAATCTGGGCACTCAGGTTTGAAACCACAAAGTTAACCCTCCTTCCAAACACTACTTTTTTTTTTAAATTTTACTTTTAATTTTTTCCCAAACATTTCTGAAATAGTTTAGTCCTACCATGTGCTCCTGAAGGCTCAGTCAATAAAGAAACCGGTTGCAATGCAAGAGATCCAGGTTCGATCCCTGGATTGGGAAGATCCCCTGGAGAAGGGAATGGCAACCCACTCCAGTATTCTTGCCTGGAAAATCCCTCGGACAGAGGAATCGGGTGAACTACAGTAGTCCATGGGGTGGCAGGGCCGGACACGACTGAGTGACTAACACTTTCACGGTGCTCTTGGAAAGATGAACACGTCTGAGTCCTTACTTTTTTTTTTTTTTCCCTAGAAGTTTCCCAAGTTGATAGGCAACGGGAACACCGAGAGGAACCTGTGAAGCAAGTTGCAGCCCCAGACAAGAAACAACTGACCCCAGAAGAGCACCACACACGTACCACAGTTGGAAAAAACAGCTCTCAGGACACAGTCGTCGTCCCTTCAGAACAACAGGCCGCTCGGTGTGAGTCATGCGGCGCCGCCTTGCCGGGTAAGGCGGACGTCACTGTCACTCCCAGCGCGTACCTTGCGAGGAGGAGGTTTGAATACGATGCACAGGGGAACCTGTTTCTCTACTCGAAGCTGGACGCTCCCCCTGCCGGGGCGCGCCCACGCCAATGTAACCGGTGCCGAGAAGCTGTAAGCCGTGCCCAAGCTCTTAATGCCGACCAAGGAACCCACAGTAACAAGGAACCCCGCAAACGCACCGCAGGCAGGAAGGGCCTCTCTCTCAAGTCAAGACTCACTACCCGTCAGAGAGTCCACAGGGCCAAGCCACCCTCAGGGCGGAACTACCAGCGGGGAGGTGGCCCGCCCAGGCAAACATCCGGGAAATCAGGCGGACCGGAAATGCCGCCGAAACAGGAAATGCCGCCGAAACAGGAAATGCCGCCGAAACAGGAAATGCCGCAGAAAGCTCTTGGGGGAGACGAGCCTGTGCATCCCCCCAGGCCGTTCTAACTGGAGAGACGCCTTAGAAGTGTTCCGGCTGTGAGGAGCTCTCCCACAAGTCAAGCCTCATCGAATACCACAGACGCCACACGGGAGAGGAGCCCTACCGTTGCCCAGAGTGTGGGAAGTACTTCTCCCAGAAGTCCTGCCTGATCATCCATCAGAGAGCGCACACCGGGGAGAAGCCCTGGGGTGCATCCGGTGCTGCAAGGCCTTCTCGCAGAACTCTTGCCTCCTCATCCACGTGAGGACCCACGTGGGCAGCAGGCCCTACGAGTGCTCCGCCTGCGGGAAGACCTTCACCCAGGAGGCGAACCTCCTCCGACACCACAGGATTCACACCCGGGAGAAGCTGTACGGACAGGGTGAGACAAGGCTTTCATCACGAATTCCCAGCACTCTGAGGAATGTTAAAACCCTATGGATTTTGTGAACGTGGAAAACCCCTGCGCCGAGAAGTCCAGGGCCAACTGTGGGCAGAGCGTCACACCAAAGTGAAACCCTAGCAATTTAGAGTCAGAAAAAGCTTATTCTTTTTTTAATATTTTAATCTTTTTGCCACACTGCCATGGGATGTAGGATCTTAGTTGCCTGACCAGGGATCAAACTTGTGTGCCCTGCATTGTAAGTACAGAATCTTAACCACTGGACCCACCAGGGAAGTCCCGAAAAGCTTATTCTCTTAAAACTAAGAAGGGTAATGACGCTCTAGAGGGATTTATTTTTATAGGATAAACTTAATTATGAAGTGTATCTGTGTCTTATAGTAGCTGTGGCTGTTGAGCTCTGAAGTCAATGAATAATTTAAACCGTTAAGACAGCATATTGAATAAGGATGAATAAGGCACAGAACAATCCTGGGGTATACAGGGGCTATGTTCCTGGAGATGCTCCATAAAAATAGTTTTATTTTACTTATTTTTGAATTGTATTTATATTTGAACACAATTGTGAACTTGTAGATACCATAATATGGAGGATGACATCTATCAAGAAGTTTCCATACTAATTACACCCTTTTGTTTTTAATATATGTTATAACTGGAACGTTCCAAATTTACTACTCAACCAGAAGTCCATACACAGTACCACATACCGTTTGGTTTTTTGTTTGCTGGCAGATATTACAGAGCACCCCTTGGATTAGGAAGCCAACAACTTCATGAGGTACCCTCATCTCTGTCATCTAGTTCATAAGTCATGTTAAATGTGCAAGGTTGGGGCTCCCTTTTCTGTCAGTATAGTGGACCATCTGAAGTGAAAAACGTTCCACTAAAAGAAAAGTGAGACTTCAAAGATGTATTGGCTCAGATTTAACAAAAGACATGCATTAGCATGCATATATGCATGCAGTATATATGTGTAAATATGCATATGTATATACATGCACTATATGCCTAGCTGAGTAGTTAGAAATATTCACATCTAGATGTACTCGATGTATTATCTGTCAAGAGTTTAGCTACATTGCTGTCTGGTATTGCTGCCTTGTCATCCATCATATTTGGTCAAGAGGCTGCAGGGACCTTAAGCTGATAATAATAGCCCCTCGAACAAGGACATGCTCGATGGCAGTGATCGGCCACAAGCAGATATAAGTCCCTGGTGTGACTTCCTCCCAGCCCTTATGATCAGCAGCCTGCCTCCCAGTGTCTGTGTGCCTTATGCCCCTTAGCCAGGGCCCTGTGAGCTCGTCAGAACCCTGCTCTGTGGGTTTGAACTGACTGCTCTGGTCCTAACCCAGCGACCCCAGAGCATGCCTTCTGTGGACCCTAATAAAGGCATGTGTGCCAAGTCCAGTCTGTCTGCACTCTATCTTGACCTCCCCTTCTGCTGTGGACCCAGTCCAGGCCCTGTGAGTGTTAAGGCCTTGTGAGTGTTAAACGCGTCTATTTCAATTTCTGTGTGGTCTGTTGTTTAACCCACTCATCGTCCTGCACCTTGTGCTCCACTTAGTGAAGTCTCTTAGTCGTGTCCGACTCTTTGCGACCCCATGGACTGTAACCTATCAGGCTACTCTGACCATGGAATTTTCCAGGCAAGAATGCTGGATTGGGTTGCCATTTCCTTCTCCGGGGGATCTTCCTGACCCAGGGGTCAAACCCGGGTCTCCTGCACTGCAGGCAGACGCTTTACCATCTGAGCATCCAGGGGAGGCCCTTAACAAGTGTTAGCAGTCTTGACACCTGGGAACAGGATGGTAACAATCGACAATGGGGACAGTCTTGCGATTGGGCGCTGGAGAAATGCCTTTCAGCTGTGAGAGCTCCAGGGCTCTCCCAGGTGGGATGTTCCATCTGGGGGGCCCCCTGTGCTGCCATCCCCCGACCCCCAAGTGCAGGTGCCCCAGAATCCCCCGGAACACTGCTCTTGGGGGCTGGTTTGAGGGGTTGTGGGTGTGTCTCCTGCCTGTTACCGCCTCATAGAGGGTGAACTCCCCCAGCGAGTGTTAGACTTGGGGTGTGTTTCCCCACTTCAGGCGCAGACCCAGCTGTCGACTGATAGCAGAGCTGGCCTCGGCTTTCTGAAAGGTCCTTTCGGGGGCAGGTGAGGGCTGGAGTGCTCAGTGCCTAGAACCACCAACTCACCAAAGCATGGGTTCCAGGCTCCAAGGTCCCAGCTCTGGGGACCCTGCCACCTCTGCTCTGGTGGGGGTGACCCTAATCCTGCTGGGGCTGATGGGACCACCCTGAGGGGAAGCGGCCACCTAGGAGTCTGGCTGCCAGGGAGCCCACTGCAGACCTTTATGGCAATGTGTGTCACTCAGTTGCTCAGTTGTGACCCCATGGACTGTAGCTGCCAGCTCCTCTGTCCATGGGATTCTCCAGGCAAGAATACTGGAGTGGGTTGCCATGCCCTCCTCCAGGGGATCTTCCCAGGGATCGAACCTGAGTCTCTTGTGTCTCCTGCATTGGCAGGTGGATTCTTTACCACTAGTGACACCTGGGAAGCCCTTTGGTAACACCTCTAAGACAAAATCACGGGTGGGGGGTGGAGGTGGCAGGTAACAGAGAATTAGAAGCCAAAATCTGAAACTGGATTGCATCTTTGAAAGTTACTGAGAGAGTAAACCTTGAACGTTCGCATTACTAGAAAATAAAATTTGGCAGCTACATGAAGTGATGTTAGCTTGAGCTATTGTGGTGATACTGTCTCAATGTATACAAATTTCAAATCATTGTACGCCTGAAACCAATGTGATGTTGTGTGTCAGTTATTTCTCAATAAATAAATAAACTGAAAATTGAAACCTGATATGTCTCAAAATTCAAAATATTCTGAAAGACTTTGTACAGCAGGAGGGAAAGAAGAGGTGCTGCTACACTGCACCATGGAATTCAGCCAAAGACCCACAATGCATAACCTTCTTAAAGAAATCAGGGGACCTCCTGGTGGTCCAGTGGCTAAGACTCCGAGCTCCCAATGCAGGGGGCCTGGGTTCAATCCCTGGTCAGGGAACTAAATCCCATATGCTGCAACTAAAACCTGGTGAAGTCAAAGAAATAGATATTAACAACAACAGTAAAAAAGAACCCAGGGATGCAGGACCACCATTAGCAAACGCAGGCTGGGTCCCCACATGGACTGATCTTGGCTCCAAAGCAGCTACAACCAATCGTACTCGGCATCTAGACAGCTCCAAGGCCCTTGCCGGCCAGTCAAGGACCACGGCTTCCTCGGTAGTAGCCAACACTCTTATCTCATGCAGTCTGAATAACAGGGCCACTGGTGGCCCTTGGGACTAACCCGGTCCCAGGAGACGCACTGAAGCCAATCAGCTGCAGACAGCAGGCTGTTAGAATGGGCATCCCTCAGCATCTCTGGAGTGAGGACTTCCTTACAGCTGTAGGATTTGGGGAAGAATTGTGGGGGGGGGGGGCTTCCTGTGTGCCTCGGGTTCCTGAGCACTGACCTCAGGGAAGCAGAAGGTAAGAATGGAGCTGGCACAGACAGATGGCCAGGGAACCCCTTCCATAAGATCGCTTTTCTTTCTTTTATAGTCTCTTCCTCCTGTCCTTCTCTCTTGTTAAAATTGAAGTAAAGTTGGTTTACGATGTTGTGTTTCAGGTATATAGCAATGTGATTCAGTTATAGGTCTATTTTTCAGATTCCTTTCCCTTATAGGTCATTACAGAATATTGCACTGAGTTCCCCTGCTATACAGTAGGTCTTTGTTGGTTATCTATCTGTGTATAGTAGGTGTGTATCTGTTAATCCCAAACTCCTAATTTATCCCCCCTGCCCCCCCTGCTTTTCCCTTTGGTAACATTTTGTTTGTTTTCATTGCAGCATGTGGGATCTAGTTCTCTGATCAGGGATCAAACCTGGGCTCCCTGTATGGGAAGTGTGGATCCTTAGCCACAGGACCACCAGGGAAGTCCCTGGGTCTCTTTCATAAGGGCACTAATCTGATTCGTGAAGTCTCTGCCCTCACGACCTCATCAACTCTAGAGAACCCCCCCCCCACCTCCTAATCACAGACTAATAATGGGGAGCAGTTTTCAACGTGAATTTCGGGGTAGGGGGGACACATTCAGTCTACAGCAGGTATGGTGATGGGACTTATTGCTGAATTATACGAGGGATTTTCATAGATGGAAAAAAGCAGCACAAAGCAGTATGAGTACAAGTGTGATAATTTGAAGCTTATCTTTGTGAATGGCTTGAACCAGTCACAGTTCATCTCACATAAAACAAACTCCACAAATCTTAAGGATGCATCTTGATGAAGTTTTGCACATACATATACCCATGGAATCACCACCCAAGTTGACATATAGAATGTTGCCAGCATCCAGGCAATCTCCCTGTGCCCTCAGCCAACCCAAACCCCTTCCCCCGTTAACCACCACGACAACATCAAAAGCCACACATGAGTCTGTCATTGGCCTTTACTTAAATGGGAGCATCCAGTATGTGTTCTTTGCATCTTGCTCCTTACACTATTACATCTGTGTTGTTCTCATTTTTTGCCAATAGCAGTACTTCATTCTTTTTTGTTGTTCGTAGTATTCCATTGCATGAACATGCCACAAGCTGGGTTTTTTTTTAAACATTTTTTTGATGTAGACCATTGTTTAAATTCCTTATTAAGTTCTTTTATGATATTACTTCAGTTTAATGTTTTTGTTTTTTGGCTGCAAGGCACGTGGGATCTTAGCTCCCCAACCAGGGATCAAACCTGCACCCTCTGCATTGGAAGGCAAAGTCTTAACCACTGAACTGCCAGGGTAGTCCTGCCACAAGCTGTTTGTATTCATTCTGTGTTCGTGAACATCTGGATCATTTCCAGTTTTTGTCTATTATAAACAGTGCTGCCATAGACTTCTCCTATGTGAATACTCACTCCTTTTCAAAAGATACTGTGTGGCTACGACTCAGAGCAGGAGTTCTCAAACAGGGGTGACTTTGTCCCCTAGGCATGTTTGCCAATGTGTGAGGACATTTTTGACCATCACAACTTGGGTAGGGGAGTGCTGTGTGCCACGTGGGTAGAGACAAAGGATGCCGTTAAGGGCCCTACAATACACAGGTCGGTGCCCCCCTCAGAGAGAGCTATCCGCTCAAAATGTCCATAGAAGCAGGAGCCTGATTCTGGGGTCCTTGTCTGCTGCCTCCAGGTTGTGTCCAGTAGGCCTTGGGGAATCACAGAGGGCTCTGGAATGTGAGGTTTCCGCCCAGGAGAGGGGACTTCAGAACAGACCCCACCTGGCCTCAGCGTTAGGCGGCATCAGCCTGGTGGGTGGCGCCTGGCGTCCTGGGACCCACGGCCCGCCACAGCGCGCCCTGCACGTCGCGGTTCCGCAGCGTGTAGATGGCCGGGTAGAGCAGCGGGGTGAGGCTGATGTAGATGAGCGAGACTAGCTTGTCCTCCTCCAGGGAGCGGCTGTGCAGGGGCCGGGCGTACATGGCCGTGGCGCAGCCGTAGTGCAGCACGGCCACCGTCAGGTGGGACGCCACGGTGCTGAAGGCCTTGCGGCGGCCCGCGGCGCCACCCACGCCGAGGATGACCGCCAGCACCCGGGCGTGGGAGAGCAGGATGAGGGCCAGCGGCAGCACCAGCAGCAGCAGGCAGGCCGCCAGCAGGACGCACTCCTGAAGGTCCCGGTCGCCGCAGGCCAGCACCAAGACCGCCGGGAGGTCGCAGAAGACGTGGTTGACCAGGCCCCCGTGGCAGAAGGGCAGCTGGAAGATGGCCGTGGTGAGGCCCAAGGCCAGGAGAGAGCCGCCCAGGCCGCAGCAGGCCAGGAGGCACCAGCAGAGCCCCGCCGTCATGAGCTGAGGGTAGTAGAGGGGGTGGCAGCTGGCCAGGTAGCGCTCCAGGGCCATGGCCGCCAGCAGCAGGCTCTCGGCCCCTAGCGCCACAGAGAGGCCCATCTGGGCGGCGCAGGTGGAGGGGCCCACCGCCTGGCCCCCGGGCGGCAGGAGGAAGCCGGCCAGCATGGGTGGGGTCAGCGCCAGTGTGTAGGCCACCTCCACGGCAGACAGGGCCCCCAGGAAGAAGTGCATGGGGGTGTGCAGGGCGGCGTCCACCACGGCCAGGCCCACAATCAGCAGGTTCCCCGTCAGCGTGGCCAGATAGAGCGGCAGGAGGAGGGCAAAGAGCAGCGCCTGTAGCTCCGGGGCCACCCCGAGAAGCCCAGGATCACGAACTCCCATGGGACGCTCCCGTTGGACGCGGGCCAGTGACTCATTGTTGGGACCTGGGCAAGGAGCAGCGGGGCCTTCTCTTCTCCTTGGCTCGCCCTACGCCTGCCTTCCCTGGCCCACGCATTGCTTCCCTTCCTGCACCCACCGTAGGGATGCAGCGCTTTCTCCCCAGCCCAGTGTTTTCCACCTCGTTTCCAGCAGCCTCAGCATCCTCCAGAAATTCAAGACTTTCGGAGCCATGGTCCACCCTCCCTTCTGGCCTCCCGCACCCCATTGCATTTCCAGGCATCCAGGGGTCTTCGTCATACCTGCCCACTGCCTCTGGTTCTATCCTGCCTTCTAAACCCCACACCACCTGTACCCTGGGGCCAGCCTCCCAGGTTCCAGCCTATGGTGATGACAACCAATATGGTGGGGCTGAACCCCGGACTGGAAGACTAAATGGGCCCCCGTTTCCACCAGCTGACCCTGAGCAGCATTAGTGTCTCCGGTTTGCAGAGGCCCAACCATCCTCCCTTACACGAGGTCACAGCTCCTAGATCCCTGTTGGTAAGACTCATGTGTTCCTCTCTGACCTGCAGCAGCCTCTGTGTTCTGTTGTATTTATTTTCCATTCCTTTCTCTTGACAGGACTTGGGACAAACCCCTGGCAGTCCCGGGCCTGTTGTTTCCCTCTGACGCAGTTACAGGGAAAAAACCGGGCCGGGAAGATGGCCCGCCCCCTGTGCGCTGTGATGAGCCTTCCTGAGCGACAGCATCCTGTTCTCTGACTTAAGTGAGCCCTGGATCTCTTCCACGACCCACTCCTGTCTCTTAGCGGCAGGCCGTAGGCATTCCACCAGGACTGCGAACCCAGCCAGTCCTGAACTCACTGCACTGCTTCAGACCCCAACTCCCCCTCCTTCTGTGGTTGGAGCTGGTCCAGCACTGAAACTGGAAACCAGGCAAGCATGCAGTGAATTCCCTCTCCTGCCCCTTCAAGTACAGCAGGGCATTGTGCCCCGCTGGGCACTACTACAGCCTCCAGAGGCTCTTTTCTCCCCGGCCTCCTGTTTTCTTTTCCCTGAATGATCCCAACGGATCCTGCCTGGCCCTCCTGCTCCTGGCTGCATCCTTCTAACCATTTTTTGTACCACCAATGGGAACAACCCTTCGAAAGGATGGATACCAACTCTCCCTTCTTACCTTCAGGTTTAAGTCCACAAAGTCCTCAGCACAGCGTGCCATCCAGCTTCACGTCTTGCTCATTCAGGATGCCCTGGAGTCCCAGCATCATCTTCCTAAAAAAGACGGGAGATTCCATTCTTCCTTCAAGGAGGAACTCACAAGTCACATCCCATGTGCGTGAAGACTCCTGGCCCCCAGGCAGGCTTGGTGGCATCCTCTCATTCCACGGTTGTTATGGCAACACCACTCAATTCAGCCTCCTGGAACCAAAGATTCGAGTTGTGCTTGTTGCTGGGCCGAACGATTGTAAGTGAAGGAGTTAGTTACTCAGGCCTCATTTCTCCCACACGTATGCCTCCGTGTCCCTATCATGTCCCTAACCTGGGTTTCTGGCCCTGGAACCAAAGAGAGAGTCAGAGGCTCCACCCTTTTTCACAATAGCCACTTGCCCCAACTTCTGTGGGCTCCTCTCCCCAAATGCTCCTGGCCATTTGAAATCCACGTTGCAGTTAACCTCAGGTGGGGGTCCATGCAGTCAATCGTCTTCAAGGTCAACGTTGTTTATTGTTGTTCAGTTGCTAAGTTGTGTCCGACTCTTTGTGACCCTGTGGACTGCAGCACGCCAGGATTCCCTGGCCTACACTGTCTCCTGGAGTTTGTTCAGTTTCACATCCATTGATGAGTTTGGTCCACTGATGAGTTGGTGATGCTATCTGACCATCTTATCCTCTGCCACCCTCTTCTCTTTTTGCCTTGAATCTTTCCCAGCATCAGGGCCTTTCCCAATGAGTCGTCTCTTCATCAGAGCAATGCCCCCCACCCCCCCCCCAAAAACCCTACTAGAATCATTGTTCATCTCCCCACCCTGGTACCAAAGGTCAAGTCAGAAAAACAAACATTAACGCATAAAACAAACAAAAATGCATATGTGTGGGATCTAGAAAAATGGTACAGATGAACCTGTTTACAAGAAATAGAGACACAGATGTAGAGAACACATGTATGGCTGCTAAGAGGGGAAGGGAGGTGGGATGACTTGAGAGATTGGGATTGACATATACACACTAATGTGTACAAAACAAAAGACTAATGAGAACCTCGCCTATAGCACAGGGATTCTACTCAGTGCTCTGTGGTGATCCAAATGCGAAGGAAACCCAAAAGTATGGATATATGTATAACTGGTTTACTTCTCTGTACAGCAGACACTAACAACATGTTAAAGCAACCATAACCCAATTTTTTTTTTAAAGGGTCAGTTGTTCTGCCATCTGAAATAGCTCAGCTGGAATTCCATCACCTCCACTAGCTTTGTTCGTAGTGATGCTTCCTAAGGCCCACTTGACTTCACATTCCAGGATGTCTGGCTCTAGGTGAGTGATCACACCATTGTGGTTATCTGGGTCATGAAGATCTTTTTTTGTATAGTTCTTCTGTGTATTCTTGCCACCTCTTCTTATATCTTCTGCTTCTGTTAGGTCCCTACCATTTTTGTCCTTTACTGTGCCAATCTTTGCATTGTGCAAAGATTTGCATTGTGCCCTTGGTATCTCTAATTTTCTTGAAGAGATCTTTAGTCTTCCCACTCTTGTTTTCCTCTATTTCTTTGCACTGATCACTGAGAAAGTCTTTCTTATCTCTCTTTGCTATTCTTTGGAACTCTGCATTCAAATGGGTATATCTTTCCTTTTCTCCTTTGCCTTTCGCTTCTCTTCTTTTCTCAGCTATTTGTAAGGCCTCCTCATTTTGCCTTTTTTACATTTCTTTTTCTTGGAGATGGTCTTGATCCCTGCCTCCTGTACAATGTGATGAATCTCCGTCCATAGTTCTTCAGGCACTCTGTCTATCAGATCTAACCCCTTGAATCTATTTGTCACTTTCACTGTATAATCATAAGGGATTTGATTTAGGTCATACCTGAATGGTCTAGGGGTTTTCGTTACTTTCTTCAATTTAAGTCTGAATTTGGCAAGAAGGAGTTCATGATCTGAGCCACAGTCAGCTCCTGGTCTTGTTTTTGCTGACTTTATAGAGTCTCTCCCTCTTCGGCTGTGAAGAATATAATCAATCTGATTTAGATATTGACCATCTGGTGATGTCCATGTGTAGAGTCTTCTCTTGTGGTGTTGAAAGAGGGTGTTTGCTATGACGAGTGCGTCCTCTTGGCAAAACTCTCGGGAAAACAATGAAAATTGTGAGACACTTTATTTTGAGGGGCTCCAAAATCACTGCAGATGGTGACTGCAGCTATGAAATTAAAAGACGTTTGCTCCTTGGAAGAAAAGCTATGACCAACCTAGACAGCATATTGAAAAGCAAAGGTCCATCTAGTCAAAGCTATGGTTTTTCCAGTAGTCACGTGTGGATGTGAGAGTTGGACTATAAAGAAAGCTGAGCGCCAAAGAATTGATGCTTTTGAACTGTGGGGTTGGATAAGACTCTTGAGAGTCCCTTGGACTGCAAGGAGATCCAACCAGTCAATCCTAAAAGAAATCAGTCCTGAATTTTCATTGGAAGGACTGATGCTGAAGCTGAAACCCAATACTTTGGCCACCTGATGCAAAGAACTGACTCATTGGAAAAGACCCTGATGCTTGGAAAGATTGAAAGCAGGAGGAGAAGGGGACGACAGAGGATGAGATGGTTGGATGGCATTACTGACTCGATGGACATGAGTTTGAGTAAGCTCTGGGAGTTGGTGACGGACAGGGAAGCCTGGTATGCTGCAGTCTATGGGGTTGCAAAGAGTCGGACACAACTGAGCGACTGAATTGAACTCAACTGTCCTGCCATCTCAACAAGAGACACATTCTTCCTCCTCTCTTCTCTCTCCATAGACTCCCAATTCTTAAAATGTCACCCCTTTGAAAGCTGGTTCAAGCTCACCTTTCCTAAGGAGCCCTTCCTGGCTGGGTCCAGTCACTGCTCCAAGGCAATTACATACGTTAATAGCGCAGCAGACATCCGTTGACAGATATCAAACCACCTGGTCAGGCTGATCCTGATGTGGACACTCCAGCATCCCTGAGCTGTCTCTTCATATCTAACCAGTGTTTCCTCTCCTCCTGCCTGAGTTCACTTTATAGAATCCAGACCAACAGCCAGCATGCTGTGAACCATGAAATCCATGACCATCCACTAAGCTGGTCACAACATGTCCCTGTCTGTTTCCTCTCCCCTAACGTAACAGAGTTGGACCAGATGGTCTTGAAAGTTCCTTCCTGTTCTGATACTATATGGTTCTATCAAAAGATGAGTTTGTGCTTATGCTTTTACTCCCAAGCGGAGCCATTTTTTGAAAGATATTTTGATGTTTTAGGAATCCATAAAGAAGCTGTAAGAAGTCAGTCTAATTTAGAATCAGTAAAGGAAATATAGCAGATGTCCATTTATGGATCTTAGAGGGGCCTTAGGCCAGTATACTTATCAATGTAGCTTTATCTAGCTACACCCATGTGTTTGTGTGTCCATTTGCACACCTGTGTGCCATGCATTTTTGGACGTGTTCTGCCTCATCATCCAATTTTGGGGGGCGGTGCTCAGATAACAGGGATGTAGGGGGTGAGGATGGAGGTCTCCTTTCTAGTCATCTCTGTGATGCTGCCCAAGTCACGTCTTTTCTCTGTGGCCTGAGAGCACCCCCAGGTATCAGGGTCTAGTTCCTTTGTCCTCTTGAAGCCAGGATGGTGTGAGGACACACACTGGGCTTCTTGTCTCACTGGTGGAAAGAGCCTGGAGAGAGTTTTGAAACTTTGGGAGCACAGCAGCCTTCCCCAACCCCAGAGAATGGTTTTCATGATGGACAGCAAGTGTCTGGGACAGCAGTCCCTGCTATAGGAGATGACATTGGAAAAAATATCAGAATATCAAGACATGCTTCATCCTG